CTCCCGAACAGCTGGAGGGCAGCTCACTTGGTCTCTGGTCAGCTGCCGAGCAGGTGTTGACAGGTCTGCCAAACGTCCGTACTCTTAACGTGACAGGCGTTTTACTGGCCTCCACACAGTATTCAACGAATTAATTGGACTTTCAGATCTAAAATACGGACAACTTTCTTTTCTTTCTTTTCCACTTCATTTTCTTTACTAGTTTCAGGTTAAATGAATGCTGATCAGAGCACTTCGATTCCATGTTGCTAAAAAAGGTAATTTCCTTCGGCTGCTCTAGGAGACTATATTTGATGTTAACTTGGAATCACACTGGACTTAGACCTTTAACGTGGCATCTCAGACGCTGCAGAAATGGGAAGATTAGAGCAAACTATCTCCCCTTTGTGCGTGTTGTTCTTCTTTATTTCTGCTACAGGCTACAGGATCCGAGTGTGCACCGGTCCCAGCCGCGGGCAGTGGAGGCAGAGACCACCCCAGGACCTTCGAGACGTGATCCGGGGGACACGGACTGTGGCACACATGCCTCCTCTCCTGCAGGCAGTCCCTGGGTCAGCCCATGTCCAGGTCCCCCACCCCATCCGCGACCTCGCAAGTTAACAAGTAGAGCCAATTCAGCCGAGCACAGAAGTGGCAGAGATGACAGTTTGGACTGGTTTGACTTCATGGCTGCTCATCCGATTGACCCTCAAAACACTGCTCTTGTGTCACCTGGTCCCAGAACATCCGAGGAAAATAAGGCTTTGAAGATCTCCAACAGCAAATCCCAGGGTAAGGAAAAGCGTGAGCCAGGCCGAAGGAGCACAGGGGACACCGGGCAGTCCCCATCACCCGGAGAGACAGGTGCTCTCCAGGGGCCAGACACTGCAGAGCGTCAAGCAGCAGAAGGGGCAGCCCCAGCTCCTGACGCTGAGGACCCGGGCTCGGTCCTGACCTTCCACTTCCCTAGGGGACTGCACAAGCTTTGCAAGGCGAGGGCCCAGAAGCTGTTTGGCAGTGCCACCGGGGCACCTTGTCATCCTCCGTCCACTGCTGTGCGTAGTCCAGAAAGAGCGCTGGAAACCCCCGGGAGGAGGAGGCTGGCGTCACTTGCTCAGGCAGAAGAGCCTGCAAGTGAAAACATTGAGACTCCAGGTCCCCCAGTGGCTAAACTGGCAAGATTTACCTTCAGGCAGACGTCAAAGCTGACCCACTCCCCTGAAGGCCGCAGCCGTGTATCTCCTGGCACAAGGACAAGAGCGGTTGCTAGCCCTGAAGTTTCCCAGCACAGAACAAGCGAAGCAGCCCTGCCTGTGAAGGGTCCGGAAAAGTTGACATCTCTCTCAGGACACAAGCACTCAGCTCAGCCGCAGGCCGAGACGGAGACGGAGGAGGTGTCGTGGCAGCCGCCCGAGGGAGGCGGGTCCAGAGAGAAGAGGTGCGCCCCTGGGAAGAGAGGGGTGCAGCCTGAGCTTGGGAACGAGGCTGGGCGTGCTCGTCTCACTGGCGAGGGAGACACCAAGGAGGAGGTTTCGCGCAGGCATAAAAGCAGCACGGTCCACGCTCGCACATTAGCCAGGCTGGCAGACTTCTCCTTTACTCCGCCATCGGAACCCAAGTCAGAGTCCGCTCCTCTTGAGAGGAAGGCCCGGGCTGAGAGAGGCCCAGTCCTTCCACCCACAGCTCCAGTGCTCGGCAGTAAAAGGAGGTCTTTTCAGCTCCAGGCGTCCACGGAGAAACTGAGTCTTCCCCAAAACTCTCTCTTCACTCTGTTAGAGCTAGATGATGAAGCGTTGGATTTTGACTGGGATGAAGAGATGAAGAAAAAGCCATAATTCTGGAAAGCTTTTTGGTGAGCTTCCGTCTTCCCCAGCTCCACCCAGCCCCGTCAGGGCCTCGGCGTGGTGTTTATAGGTGTAAGAACAGTGGGCCACTCCGAGGGCCATTCTGAACCCCCACCCCACCCCAGGCGTGACCCTTTCGAGTTTGTCTTCATGACTTCATAGTTGTCGCGTCAGCTCGGGTCAGCACTTGGGTTGAGTTAGTTGATGCTCTGCTGAACTTTGTCAATGGAGTGCTTGTATTCCTAAAGATGTTTCTGGCTTTTTACTTATTTTTTTAAGGGGGAAAGGGCCTTCCCAAGTCTCTCCTTTCATTCACTCAGAAGCCTAACAGCCAGATGAACACTTTGTCTGTCTGTCTCCTGTGCTTTCACCTGGAATGTGCCAAGTACATTGCATATTTATCATCGTTTGGGATGATCTGCCAAAATCATGTGCTTTTTCTCATATTATGTTTGTGTTTGCTTGTGTGCATCCAATCAAATGTGACCAAGCTTTTCTCTTTGAAAGGCATCCTACAATTCCACAGTATTCCCAAAGAGCTGGCAAGTCATCAAGCCGGGCCTTTCTGAAGCCCTGACCTTCCAGGTTTCCTTCCTTTCTTGAGCCAACATTTTGTGCTTCAGATTATTTTTCCTCTCGTTGGCCCACTTTCAACACAGCTTAAGTCCTGTGGTTGGAAGAAGCAGGCGTTGCGGTACTTTCTTTTCTTTTTTTGGGGGGGGGTTGGAGTCTCACTCCGTCACCCAGGTTGGAGCACAATGGCACGCTCATAGCGGGCTGTTAGAATCCCATAATTGTAGCCTTTCTCTTCCAAAGTATGGATTTGTACCATGAACGTTAGATTTTTCAATTGTCTGAGGAACTTTTGGACATGAAAAAGACTCAGAACTGTGTGTACTCTGTTTAATGTTCACTTCATTAAAGTCATGTAGAGAAAACACATTTAGGAAATCCAATTTTTCTTAAGCATTGAAACATTAAAAAATTCTAAAATTGACTAATTAAATTTTCTGAAGTTTTAAACTGTGAATACAAATTTAGTATGGATGAGTCTTTTGAAGTCTTGAAACACCTTAAAGAGCTGATAAAAAGAGATGTATGAGGAATGATTATAAAAAGTATTATTGCATGTCCATAAATGTACTCTAAAATCTCAAGACTGTGGTTTAAGAAATGTATTATTTCTGTACTTGTTTAATACTTGTTCCCCATGTAGTATGATTCTTAATTTGCTATATTCCTAATCTTTCATTATTATTACTTTCCTGGGTTTCAGAGTTCTTACTAGAACTAAAGGAAAAAGAAAGGATTCGATTTTTTCACCAGTTGAATCCTGGTCTGGACAAACCTGAGCCACAGTGAGGAGCTGCCTATTTTTGTAATGGTAAATGTTTAAGTCCCTTGAGTAGCAACTTCTGTCTTTGAAACTCTGTATCTTTCGCTCTGTAGCAGTGATGTTTGTAGCAGTGATGTTTTAGGTTTTGCACGGCTGGCAGCTATCCTATCGGGTAGTTTGATCCGTGATGCTCTCATCACTCAGAATGTTTGCATTTATTGAGACTTCAGACTCTGGAGGTTTCATGTCTTAGTAAGAGAGATTTAATTTTTCTAGTTAACTTGTCCCTTGAAGACACTGGGCAATTCACATTTTAAAATGCAGCATTGAGTTGACTGTCTTCCTTGGTGACTGCGTGTGACCGCCTGTGCCACCTTCTGCTTGGTTATTACTTGTGCCCACCACATCCTGTTATCTGTGAATCAGCCCATCCTATTCTCAGTTATACTACCTTCTGCCAAGATATCTGGCCAAATTACAGGTCCCATATGTTTGTTCTTTGGTGCTTACAGATAGAAATAACCACATACCTAATTATTATTAGCAGGCATAATTACTCAAAGAAATAAAATACTCAAAACAGGTTGAGTATCCCTTATTTGGAATACTTGGGACCAGATTTTGAGTCTTTTCAGATTTTGCAGTATTTATACTATGCTTATACTCACTGGTCGATCCTCCCAAACCTGAAAATCTGAAGCCTAAGATGCTCGTACGAGTATTTCCTTTGAAAAAGCGTTATGTCAGCAATCAAAAAGCTTCAGATTTTGGATTAGAGACACTCAGCCTGGATAAACACCGTACTTATTAAAAAGATAAACTTCTAGCGCTGCCTGTTATAGCTACCTCATTGTACTTACATTTAAGCTTGAAGTCACACAGCTGAGTCAAAGTTCTCTATGTTGACTCCAGTGTCCTCTCAGCACTCTGTTGTTCCTAAAAGTAACCATGCTATCTGAAAACACCATGATATTCCAGACCCGTTTGATTTTTTCCTGCCCCAAGGGACTCTGCTGCTGTCAGAGGTGAGTCGTATTAGAGACCAAACTCTGGCCTCCGGGTCTCGTGTGTGGAAGGGTCACTAGTGGACAAAGTCCTCTCACTGCTGATGGGCCATTTCTCAGTAGTCCAGAGCTGGAAATGTTTTAATGTCCTGAGGTGACATTTTATCCAGCCGTGTCCTACTTTTCTTATGAGATGTGATTTCATGATGACTAAAACTTTCTCTCTATGGTCTTTAACGTGTGTGCCAAGGTGTCTCAGGTAGAATATGTACAGCCTAAAAGATTACATTTCTGGACAGTAAAGAACATTGTTTAAATTCTGAATCAACTTGACAAAATAGTTGTATTTCAGTTGAGTGGACTCCTTCAAGGCATTTTAATAATGTATAATTATTTGAACACAATAAATACTATACTAAATTTTCTTTGTGAGAGGACCAAACCAGAATTTAAATTCTATTATAACTGTATACATAAGTCAGCCTGTAAAGGTTAATCTCCGGCTGGGCTCGGTGGCTCAGCCTGTCATCCCAGCACTTTGGAAGGCTGAGGCGAGTGGATGGCCTGAGCCTGGGGCTTCAAGCCCAGGCCGGGCCACTTGGCAAGACCTCGTCTCTACAATAAATCAAAAATTAGCTGGGCGTGGTAGCATGCGCCTGTAGTTCTGGCTCCTTGGAAGGCTGAGGCAGAAGGATCACCGGAGCCCCACAGGTTGATGCTAGGGTGGCCATGAGTGTGCCACTGCACCCCAGCCTGGGCAACAGAGTGAGACTCCAACTCAAAAAAAAAAAAGGTTAATCTTCAGTGTATATTTATGTAGTATTCTAAAACTTGGGGTAGGGATTTTATTGTGATTTTTGGTGTCTTATAGAAATAACAGACAAAACAAGCATTTTCTCCTTAACTCTTTGACATAATTCAATCAAATTTTCAACTTTTTTTTGAAGGCATACCAAAACTTAAAAAATGTATTCTTGGTTGACAAGATTTAATTCTAAACAAATGTATATCTACTTGATGAGTACTTTATTTCTGCCCTTTCTCCAAGAGCAAACTCCCCGCCTAACTGAGGGCATGCTAGAGAAGATCTCCTCTGGGCAACCACAAAGAGCTCACCTTTCACCAATCCACAATACTCGGGAGTTCAGAGCCAGCCTGCCCTGGAATTCTAGGTCGCAGGGACTGCCTTGGACCAGGTGAACTTTTTAGTCGCAGCTTATCAAAGAACTTAGATCCAAACCTATGGGCCTTGCAATGTGGGAAGCTCATCAGTGTTCAGAATCACATCTTCTGTGTCTACTTCCCATATGGTTAACATTCAAGAAGGATGACGTGCTCCCGGCTCACTTTCGCACTCGCTCCACTTGGGGTTTTGCTGTCTCTGTCCCCTCTTGCATGTCACCCACACACGTCCTCCTCACTGTCACTCGCCGGTCACACCCAGCAAGCTGTGGTAACTGCCCCTGGTAACGCCCTCTTCAGTTACACGGCCGCCCCTCTTCCTTAAAGGTTTAAGTGTGCATCTAAGTGTCACGTTTGTAAACGTGAACTTGACAGGCGTGAAAGCAGCCTCAACAAAGTTGCGTCTGTAAACTCTGGGGCAAGCTGTGGTTCAAGGGAAGAAACAAGGTGTACACGCTGGGCCAGATCTCACCGAGAACTAGAAACTCATGGATGTGCCTTACGTGCACAAACTACGTTCAGGCCAGTCTTTGTGTCTGGCTGACATTTTAATGCCTTGGCAGCGTCGAGCCACTCGAAAACAGTCCTTTGTGTTAGGTGTGCTTTTATGTGGGCGCAAACTCGGTTTGACCTACAGCTTTTGTAATCAGCAAAACCTGTGTTGAAATGTTGCCCAGCACTTCAGGTCTCCTTTTCAGTGGCCGCCGACCTGCCGGGAAGCTGGGTGGCGAGCAGGCTGCAAGTCGGGGCGAGCCGCCGGGGCGCATTCGCTGTCTTCTGAGCGCTGTCCACGCGTCGGCTGATTTAACCCTCACAGCAGCCTGTCGCGCTGGGGCTGGCGTCCGCGTTTTGCAGAGGCGGTAACTGCGTCTTCGCGAGCACGCGGCCAGAGCTGCCTGGCTCGCTCTCGACGTGCCGCTCGTGCCGCTCGCG